TGGATAAAAATAATGTGATATATCTGTACAATGGAATATTACTCAGGCTTAAATAGGGAGAAACTCTTACACACATTATAATATGAATGAATCTTGAGGACATTCTGTTAAGTGATATAAACCACTTACAAAAAAGGCAAAATTTACATGATTCCATTTATGTAAGATACCTAGAGTGATCAAATACATAGAGAAAGAAAATAGAAATGATGGTACTAGGGGCTGGGGAGAGAAGAGAATGAGAAGTTAGTGTTCAGAGGATATAGAATTTCAGTTTTGCTGGTGAAGAGTTCTGGACATGTTTGGTAGTGATGGTTACATTACAAAGTGAATGTACTTAAAATCACTGTACTATACACTGAAAAATGATTACAATGGTGCATGTTGTATTTTACCATGATTAAAAATACTTTAAAAAGAAATGATTTTAATTATATGGTAGTTATCAAGTTGTTTTCAGTGAAGAACCCAAACCCTTCCTGTCCGTTGTTTTCAGTGAAGAACCCAAACCCTTCCTGTCCCTTGTAAACCACTGCTGTCTTACAAGGGAAGGAGAGAACCCCTGCCTTGCTGTCATGTGGGGCACCATTGGTTGCCTTTAGACAACAAAGTCTTTGATTTCGTTCCTATGTTCCCAACCAGCTCTCGCAGAACTAGGACTGAAGCATACACTAGCAGGGGCGCTGATTCCTTCCTGGAGAGATGAAAATGGGGACGCTAAGAACCCAGACTTCACCACTATACAAGATCCCCATGAAACAAAACTGCACCAGTATCCATTAAATCTATTTTTTTAAAGGGTGCTGCTTGCTCAAAAACTCCAAGACTGAGAGGGGAGATGAAGAGAGGCTAGAATTCATTTTCCCTAGTTCTGTGAGCTTCCTATATACAAATGATTCAAGTACCAATTCAGAGAAAAGTTTAAACTTTCTGTATGTAAATAATCATTATAAAAGCACATTTAATACTTAAATTTAACAGATAAGTTGCTATGCAATTTCAGAATTACAAAATATTTCAAGCATGCACAACTGAATGTCTGCTAGTCTGGTGACTTATGGTTAAAAATAACACTGGAAAGCTAAGCAGTTCTGGATGGCATAGTGTTGAAAAGTTGCTTGCAGGTAAGTCAAAGGGATATAATGATCACATTTACAAATCCTACACCTTTATATTTAAAAGCAGACTACTTATTAAATTCCACGGGCTTTTCTTCCTCCTGTCCTCATCAGAATGGGGGAAAAACAAAAACAAAAACAAAAACCTCATGTCTAGTATATGGGAGAATGCCAATACTTCTAAAGTAAACATTAATGACCAAACTCTGACTTAAAAGTATTGTACAGGATAACCCCCTTGGGTCCCCTCCTACTGTGGGAGCTTTTCTGTTCACTTAATAAATCCTGCTTTCTCAAAAAAAAAAAAAAGTTTTGTCCAGTAAAATCTGCATTTCTAAGTTAGACCCACTGGACAGTTTCAAGGGGCTATAAGTATATTTAACGTCCCTGGCCACTTCCTGCCCTCATCTTATTTTCTAAAAATTAGTGTTTTTTGTATCTATTAAAAGTATTGAGGGTCTTAGTTTATGAAATCATAAAACCTTACTAGCGGTACTAAAACCCAGAGACTTTGTCTTTATCAAGCTTTCTCCTGGTTTCATATAAATTGCACAAAACGTTTAAAATGTAAGATTTTAAAACTAAGCTCTTCACGGGCATTGAGCATTTTTTTTTGTGTCCTCTAAAATAACTCTCACACAGCCAGGGCTTCATGAACTCTGTGAAGTTGAATTTATTGGTCTGTTACAAAGAATGCAAATTTTGTAATTACCTGAATAAATTCTCCTTTAACATTCCAATCCACAACATGACATATTTATAGGTAAACCAAATTATTACAAAAGTATTTGATGCTCCTAAAAAGCAAGCTGATTTAAGGTCTATCAGGGGTATTCAAATAGCATGCCGAATACCTAATTCTTCTTATCATTTTGCAAAAATATATGTTGGAAAGAAGGATTAAACATTTCTGAACATTTTCTAATTCTAGCTGTTGTATAACAGCAACGACTTTTAACATTCACCTAATGTTTTGGAGGTCTCAGTAAAGTCAGGACACAGCTCTAGGGAAATAATGCAGAAACCAAGAAATGAAGTGAAAATGTGCACTCACTCTATACCTGAACCATATCATGCTGGAAATTCATAAGTTGAACTTAATGAGCTTTTTCTAACAGAGTCCTAGGATTGTGCTAGGGCTAGTCTTTACGACCGGAACAACAAAAAAAGAGGACAGTGTTGCCTAAAGCAGCACTTTTCAGTTTTCAGTCAAGTGCATAGTTGACACCTGGACAATGTGCGAGAACCCAGATTCAGTTTCAACAGGTCTGGGGTGGAGCTAGAGATTCTGCATTTCTTAACACGTTTCTAGGTGATCCTGATACTAAGGGGTACTGACAAAATAATGCATGTTTGGGATTAATATGCTGCAGAGATTGTCTACATTCTCTAAATTTCTGAGAATAACAGGTAATTTAAGATAAAAACCAAGAAGTAGAAATATTTTTGTATTAGAATAAAGACAAAATAGAAAAGTTTGTGACATACATACAAAGACACGTTTAGGGAGACTCAAGGTGCCAGCTTAATTTAGCAGGCATAGTTGTCCTGGCTTGGATAAAGATTTCTCTGGAAATAACTATGCATGGATGGCAATGATGAGATGTCTCTAGAAGAAGAGAACCTGTCATGTTTTCCAATATTCTGGTAACCCAACTGAGTCTGTCCTGATCTCATAATTTGAGCTTGGAAAAGAGCTATACAACCACAACTGCCAGTGAATAGAATCAGTACCACATTCTTTGAAAAACAACTTGCTAAATTAATGCCAAATGCAATATAGACACTACTAGGGCCTTGACCTGCTTTTGAAAAATCAAGGAAGACACAAAGAATCAACAAAACTTGAAGACTAAGAGGAGTACTCTCCAAGTAAGAAAAAATGTTTGATGCTATTTTTGAGCTGAATTTTTTTTTTTTTTTGAAGAGAGTCTTACTCTGTCGTCCAGACTGGAGTGCAGTGGCCGCTCCTGGCCACCGCAGCCTCGACCTGCTGGGCTCTGGCAATCCTTCTGCCTCAGCCTTCCAAGTAGCTGGAACTACAGGCGCGCGCTACCACGCCCGGCTAATTTTTGATTTATTGTAGAGATGAGGTCTCGCCAAGTTGCCCAGGCGGGTCTCGAACCTGCAGGCTCAGGCAATCTACTCACCTCAGCCTCCCGAAGGCGCGGGATTACAGGCTGAGCCACCGAGCCCAGGTTGAGCTGAATTTAAAGACAGATCATGATTTCTTCTGGCTGGCCTTTCATTGTTGGAGGTTGAAGATGTTCTTTTTTCCCCCCTGAAATCACCAGCAAGCATTGAACACTGGGCTCAATGATGTATAGCAAGATTCCCCTTCATTTGCTATGTATATTTGAGGAATATGCATATCCTGGTTGAAAAAAAAAAATCATCCAGCAACGAACCTGGTCAAAACTCAGTCTGTAACACAAATTGAAGGAAAACAATAATGGTGCTATTTTCACTCACAGAAAACAAATCCTCCCATCTCCAAGTTGTGCGTGAAACCAAGAGAAAAAATACTTTCAGGTCATTACATATTCATCTCAAATAGGTCAATTTTGAGTAATAAATCAAAAGGGGAAATTAAAATGCAATAATAGTAAATAAATATGAAAAATGTACATAATTAACATACCAAATTAAATAAGTTATGAATCTCTAGAAAGAGACCCTATGCCAATTTTTATTTTTATTTTTAAGTCTGGGTCTTACTAACTGTTGCCCAGGCTGAAGGGCAGTGACACAATCAAGGCTTCTGCCTCTGCCTCCTGGGTACGGACTACAGGTGTTTGCCATCATGCCCAGCTAATTTTTAAAGTTTTTATAGAGATACGGTCTTGCTATGTTGTCTAGGCTGGTCTCAACCTCCTGAGTTCAAGTAATCCTCCCGCCTTGGTCTCCCAGAGTGTTGGGATTGCAGGTGGGAGCCACTGTGTCTAGCCTCCTATGATTTTTACAACAATTTGTTTTCTAAATATTATTCTTTTCTGTGTAACCAGATTTGTTCCATTAATTTGCTGGAATAATATGCTCTATCAGTTGTGGCAGATTAAAAAAATTGCATCTACCAGTCTCTTAGCAACTGCAGATGCTTTTAAAATCCTCTGACTAGACTGGGTTTGGTGGCTCAGCCTGTAATTCCAGCACTTTGGGAGGCTGAGGAGAGTGGATTGCCTGAGACCACGGGTTCGAGACACACCGGGGCAACTTGGCGAGACCTAATCTCTACAATAAATAAAAAATTAGCTGGGCATGGTAGCGCGCACCTGTAATTCCAGCTACTTGGAAGGCTGAGGTAGGATTGCCGGAGCCCAGCAGGTCAAGGTTGCGGTGGCCGGGAACGTGCCACTGCACTCTAGTCTGGGCGACAGAGTGAGACTCCAACTCAAAAAAAAAAAGAAAAAAAAAATCCTCTGGCTATACTTTTTATGACAATAGGTCAATGGTTTCAAGTTTTTAAGAGTAGCGACTCTCAAGTCAATGTTTCATGAAGTTTAACCTAAATGTATTATGATTCATATCCTCATTTCATAGTTCTAGAAGTTTTGAGGTGTGACTTCCCCAAATTCTGAAAGGTTTAGCTCATTGCTAGAAATAATATGTGTAATGCTGGAGCAATGCTGGGTTACAAAATTTATCATTAATTAATAAAGAAACACAAAGGTAAGATGACTTTTCAGGGAGATACTAATTTAAAGAATTAGTTGTAACCTTATTCAATGGCAAAGTGTCAACTGCTTTCTATAGATATCTTTATTGATTTAGACATTTTGTTTCAAATGTTGTCATCGATAAATTGCCCTTCTTCATTTGTACACTTTACAGTGCAGCAAGGAGCTGAACAGTGGAGGTGGCTTCTTTTTTTTTATCACTTACCTAGGTTTTGCCACATGCTGAAAATTTCACAACCCATTGTTACCCGCATGTCACCATACCTGAAATAGAACAAAAAAAATCAAACCTGATACAAAGCCTCCTGAACAAAGAAGTATTTATTTGTGTGTGCTTAGGATACAACCTATCATTCTGAATAAAAAGGCAAGATGTTTTAATTAAAGATGTTTATTGTTCATTTCATGATGCTTTTTAATCAAACCCTCATACAAATCTTTCAGTTAGACAGATCTGTCTCAATTTTTTTTTTTTTTTTTGTGCCTATAATAACTTTGAATCCTGAAACACTCAGGACAAAAAAAATGTACAAACAAGTTCCAGACACTGAAATTTGCAGAAAAGATTGCTTCCTGTTGTCGTGGTCACTGCTTCTCAACTGTGTGGTTTGCAGTTATAGATATTCTGATTCATGAATCATTTGAACTAAACACCCTTTAAAAGGCAACAATTCCTACTTGATTACACATTGTTACTTACTTTTCTAACACCTTTTTCTTTTTGGAAGGTGTGAACATCTCTAACTGAAGACACAACTGGTTTATAAAAATGACTGCCAGGTAAAAGTAGGAATCCCAGATCTAAAACAAGAACAACATAATTAAATGCTACAGTGTTGCAAAAATATTTATAGGTAAAGTGACATGGAATCTTTGGATTTCCTTCAAAGTAGTAAGAGAATGAAGGTATAGTTAAAATAAAATCGGCCATGAGTTGATAATAGTTGAAGCCAGATTTGGATACATCATGGGGGTTCTTTTTACTATTCTCTCTACTTTAACATATGCTTGAAATATTCTATAACAAAGAAGTAAACTAAATAAGTATATACTATATACATATTGCTCCAAAGCTATACTCCAGATTTCATGAGCTGTTTGGTACATGCTAAATGACAGATGTTTGGTTTCTCTTATAACATGTCTGAGTATCTCCAAGGACAATGAGGTGTAAGATGGATTAATTTATGCCTGTGTGAATTCATTTTTGGAACTTCTTTTAATGTAGAACTTAAAAAAAATTCATACACTTCTTCAAATATGCTAATTGCTTTAAATTCAGATGTTATATAAAAATTCCCTGCCCAGACAACTCTTTTGAGTCTAAGTTTCCTTATACCAAAAAAAAAAAAAAACCAAAACCAGAATCAAAGAGAGATCAGAATAAGATTCCCTGAAATAAACTTAGCAAACCACATGTAGGACATAATGGAAGAAAAGTCCTTCTCTACTGATACCATGTAAAATGAAAGACAAATGACAAACTAGAAGAAATATGACAAAAGAGTTAATATCTGTTCTAAAGAACTCTTACAAACAAAAAATATGATAAAACTACAAGCAAAATAATGAATAAAAGCAGAACAGACAATTCACAAAATATGAATTCTGACCAATAACTACTAATGAGTAAGAAATGTAAAGGAAACCAAACAGGATTTTTTCCCTATCTAATTATATAAAAAAGTTGTCTCTTCCAGTGTTCGCATAAATATAGGAAGACAAGCAATCAAATCCAACTGCTACAGCCTTTAACTCAACAATTCCACTAGTAAATATTTGTCCAAAGAAATAATTACTTTATAAGAATGCACTTAAAAAGGGTAATTTAAAGGAATAAAATAGTAGAAGCAATTTAGATATCAAAAAGAACTCTGATTATGAAAGTTTGATATATTATAAGCTATGATATAGAGAAATATATAAGCATTAAAATTGCTTTTAAAAATCATTTTTGTACTTTCTTGTATTTGCCTGTTATCCAATAAGAATTTCAGAAAATGTTTAATGTAATACAATGTTATTTAAAAAATAATAAGAAACAAAGATTCCAAAAGCACAGAACCATCATTGAGAAGGAAAGCCAAAATAGGCATTTTTGTTTGCCATTTCTCATTTGAAAAACAGTAGGTTGAGATTTTATAGGCTCTCAGGCCTATCACATAATATTATGGATATACAGAGGGTTCTGCCTTAAAGAATCTTACTAATCTTTCATTTTTTTCTTTTTATTAGTTCATTCTAAAAAATAGGAAGATAGGGAAATAAGGTACTAAAGGGCTTACCTTGAAAATGTAAAATTTTCAATGACAGTAAAAAACTTTAAAAAAGATCTCTTTTTAAGCACTGTGATTTCCACTAGATTGATAAGCATTATTATAGCCTTAACCCATTCACAAATATAACAAAACTATTCTAATACTATTCAAAGCTAAAACTAATATCTAAGAAAATAATAGGTAATGTCCTAAAATACAATGTGAATATTTTAGCCCAAACAGGAGAATCATCTAAATGAATACTCACCTTATAATCAAAGTTTTCATTTAAGAAGTTCTTACGAAGTGCATCTGAGAGGTACAGAACTGTTGTAATAATAACACTAGTGATAAAAAAAGAATACCTTTTAAGTTGAAAACTTCACATTAGTGAAAATCATATAAGAACACAAAACAACTAAGATATAAGAAAACCTCCTTCAGTAAGTATGTGTAGCAATATTTAATAATTCATATTTGAAATAAAAAAGAGATACCAGGCCAAAAGAAAGAAAGAAAGAAATCTATCACTGAAGTCTATGAATTCATATTCATAATGTACTCTGACAGAAATACATTATCTTGATTATTTAATACAAACATAACATTCCATATTTGATTATCATGAAATAAAGTCATGCTTTTAGAGAAAGAAATGGAGCCCAAAGATAAAATGAATAGAATAAAATGATAGCATGTACTGGTGTATTCATTTTCTCCCGGTTGCCCCCCCACCTCCCACCCCATTTAAGGTATTAGAGGGTAGGCAAAAGCTATAGAAGGAAGATTCCCTCCCTCAGGCTGATAAGACCACCACTAAGGAAACAATTATGGACTGTGAAATTGTCTATAACCCAGTACTAAGCTGTGTAAAACCGACAGAGTGCTACAAACATTCAGAGAAAGGGGCATCTCCAGGGTAGGAGAAATCAGGGGAAGTCTGACAGAGGTGACATATGTAGCCCTATGTAGCTTGCTGGGGAAATTTAAAAATGAGACTTGGTGAGCATTCTTGGTTCATTCTAGATTTCTATAATTTGTTCAAAATCTGGTCGTTTTTATAAACAGAAGAGTATCTATTTAAAATTGAATGTATTTCCAATTGGTTCATTTAATGTTAGATATAACATTATACTGAAGATAAGCCACCCCTTGGCTACTAAAAACTAAACACCAATATATTAATGGTTGACATCTAAAACCTCTTTGGCTTTTTCTCAGATGCAGGTGTAATGAGTTTTGTGATTCGATAAGGCCTGAGTCCTCATCACAGGATTTGAAGTTAAAGGATATAGTTGTATGACCTTAGCTAAAATGAAAAACAAAAGACGAAGAAAATATCCTATCAACTTCATACTTTGCTGGTAAGATACAGATCAGAATAATATTGAGAAGAATATTTACAACCCTTGAAAGGCATATGTGCCCAATATTATTGTTATCTGCTGGAAAACTTATTATTACAGCTTTCTTGTGGGGTGGGGACACATTAGCAGGGTTAAGTTGGATGGGTGAATGTGGAAGTTCAAGGGAAACAAAGGGAAAGAAAACTACTGCTTCATGGGCATCTGCTCTACCATGAACAGGCAGTATGTTACTGGAATATATATTTTATATATGTCATGGAGACTTTTCAATGAATCTTACGATGAAAGTTAAGTATAAGAAAAACCTCGGTGGCTCAGCCTGTAATCCCGCGCCTTTGGGAGGCTGAGGTGAGTGGATTGCCTGAGCCCGCGGGTTCGAGACCCGCCTGGGCAGTGAGACCTCATCTCTACAATAAATTAAAAAATCAGCTGGGCGTGGTAGCGCATGCCTGTAATTTCGGCTACTTGGAAGGCTGAGGCGGAAGGATCACTGGAGCCCAGCAGGTCGAGGCTGAGGTGGCCGGGAGTGGCCACTGCACTCCAGTCTGGGTGACAGAGTGAGACTCCAACTCAAAGAAAAAAAACAAAGAAAAAGAAAAACCTATGAGTCCTGTGGTATCTTTAGTACCCCAAATAGCAGATATCATCAGTGAATTTCATGTCAAGGATATAAATCACCAGCAAATAAAAGTATAGCATGGCAATTTTCCATAGACACTGACAAAACCAATGATGATAACTGAAGAAGTCATTGAAGTTCCCAAAAGTGTTTTACTCCAAAGTTACTATCTGAAACTAAAGCAGCATCTCTATAATAAAATAAAATATATATATAAAAAAGAAACTAAAGCGTAATCATCAAAAGACGGAAATGCTATCAGTCAAGGAAGCAGTTCTTTTCCTTGCATCTAGTATAAGATCATTAAACTTCTAAGTTTAAAGAAGAAAAATCTCTATCGTTAACATATGGTTATAAACACAAACTTTTTGCTTTGACAGTCAATGGAGAAATACACATGGCCCCATCACACACTTGAGTTTTACATAAAACAACAACAAAAAAAGCTACTTTCTGGCCTACAACTCTAGCTTGGATTGCTCAGATACAGCACCTCTAGTGTTAGTAAAATATGACATGCCTGAGGTTTAGACTATTGGGCTGAATGTCCTAGAAAGGAGCTAACAAACTCAATCTTCTAAGGGAGAGAGGTTGTTCCATGGCAAGGATTAACCAGTTGTTTTTTTAAAGTATACTGGGTCCCAAACACACAAACCATATTCACGGTTTCTTGAATTGCACTTGCTGGTAAACAACATGGAGCCCTGTGGTCTTTCTATGAAACAGTGGGTCTTAACCTGGTCTGTGCACTAGAATCACCTAGGAGCTTTCAAAACACAAACATCTTGATCATACTGCCAGAGACCCTAATGACTGGTCTGGGGTGCAACTGGAACATCAGGATTGTCAAAGCTCCCAGGTGATTCTCTCTATTTTTTTTTTTTTTTCTTTTTGGAGTCAAGATCTCAGTCACCCAAGTTGAAGTACTGTGCTGCAGTATTAGCTTCCCACAGTCTCCACCTCCTGGACTCAAGGTAGGCTTCCACCTCAGCCTCCCGAGTAGCTGGGACTACAGGCCTGTGCCACCACATCCAGCTAATTTTTTGATTTTTTTTTTTTTTATAAAGCTAAAAATCTCCCTATGTTGCCCAGGTGGGTCTTGAACTCCAATTCTCTCACCTCAGCCTCCCGAAGTGCTGGAGTTACAGGCATGAGCCACTGTGGCCGGCCATCCCAGGTGATTCTTACATGTCTTAAACTTGAATGGGTACCTGGTGATCTACTTAAAATGTAGAATACGATCCAGCAAGCCTGGAGTGGGACTTAAGATTCTGCATTTATATCAAGCTCTGGGTGATGCTATCACTGTTGGTTTTCAACCTGTCCTTTGGAGAGCAAAGCTCTAGAGTGGTCTGAGTTAGAAAAAACATTCCAACAAATTCTGCTGCAGCATTTTCTTGACTTCTGGAATTTTAGGCAGATTCTTATGGATCTTTAATGGGTCATGCAGTTCTTATTTCTAAGAATACTTCACCCACTTATCAGAGGTGCTCAAAGAGGCATGGGTGAAGGGCCTACAAGCTTTCAGGGACTTGGGAAACTATTGAGACCTGAAAAAATTGTTACAAAACCAAATTAAAACTGCAAAATAAAAACTAAAAAATGATTAGTCACATGCCCACAGAAAGTAACATGATTATCTCATTAGTTGTTCAATTTTAATATCTATGCAATTTTTTATTATATTAAAAATTATGGTTCACTTTTAATAATTTTACAGTTCCTAAATATGGTACACATAAATGCTGAGAAATCACAACCAAAATTAAATGATTTATTCACACACCAATAATTTAAGAAGTAAATGTAAAAAAAACTTTTAATTTTACTTTTCAGCAAAATTTTATCTACTGTGGGTCTACTTAATGTTTGATATGATGAGGAGTAGGGCCTCCAAAAATAAGACTGCCTACGGCTGGAAAGATCTTAAAATGACTCTATTTCAAATGCTTTTCATTAATGCTTATAACATGCAGCCCAAGCCAGAGGCAGCTCTCAGTGCTTCCCATGGTAACTAAGATGATTTCCAAGCACATAGGTCCCCCAAGCTAGCCAACGGCACTTATACATTATTGCTCCTTCATTGTAGTGGATACCTGTGGAGTTTAGGGACTTATTCGTTTCAAAGTATCCAAAACTATGTGGCTTCTCTGGTTTCATTCTTCCACTCATGACTCAGTGTCTGAATAGGGGGATGGATATTTCAAACCTCAGTGCTCTGACTCAATAGCCAAGAAAGGTTTGCAATCTGCTACCACAAATGGTCAAATTACTGATTTCCGCCACAGAAATGCAGGCACAGGGATAACTTGTGATGACCATAATCTACAGGCACAGCATGATAAAATGTATACATTAAAGAGGAACTGCACCGGAAATCAGTTATTGCTTCATGGTTCTCCATCTGCCATCTCATTTTAGGATTTAGGAATTACCTTCAAGCAACTCTGTTTCTCCCTCTCACTCCTGCCCCAGAAACTTTATTACCTATCATTTGGTCTTTTGAAAACAACTTTAACCTGATCATCTGCTCAAGGGCAAGTCCAACTCCAAAAATCATACATGGACTGAGAGAAACACCTTTGTGGATAAACTAGGTATCAACAATGTTGGTTTTTTGTTTTTGTTTTTTTGAGTCTGAGTTTCACTCTGTTGCCCAGGCTATAGTGTAGTGGCACATTCACAGACACTGGAGTCTCAACCTTCTGGGTTCAGGAGATCCTTCTGCCTCAGTCTTCCAAGTAGCTGGAACTACAGGCACATGCCACTATGCCCGGCTAATTGTTTGTAGAGATGAGGTCTCGCTGTGTTGCCCAGGTTGGTCTTAAACTCCTGGGCTCAGGTAACCCTCTTGTCTCGGTCTCCCAAAGTGCTGGGAATACAGGCAAGAGCCACTGCGCCTAACTCTATTGGTGTTTATACATTAAAATACTAAGGAAATCTAAACCCAAAGCACAGCTTCTTCCCCACAATTTAGAGGGCAGCAGAAAACAACACGAAGACACAAAGAAAAAGAAAATCCTAGATAGCCATCAAGGGAACTCATTTACGTTTATGGTGCTCAAAATCCAGCGAGTACGAGAATTGCCGGAAGGACACACAAGACTTCAGGCCTCACTCATCAGCCATGGCGTCAGGGGGGCGGAGGCAGTTTGCAATGAGGCCCAGCCAAGTGAGTCTAAAGGATGATCACTTGGCCCAGCCAAGTGATCATCCTTTCTCATTTGGATGACCAGTGTTACAGATGAAGAGAAGACAGATAAGGGCTGGAACTTACAGAATGGTACCGGGGGAGTATGGCCTTGTTTACCACTATATCCCCAAGGGCACAGCTCGATGAGTGTTTGTTGAATGACTG